TGGCAGCTTTGCAGAATGTGCTTCTGTCTGGCACAGTCAGAATCCCTGACAGTGCTGGTTTGTGGTAAAAGAGATCCCTGGTGCACGTATCCCTGGAGAGTGGCAGGATTCATCCCACTTTCTGGAATTTCCTACTGCAGCTGCTTTCCGGTACTTCTCCAGGTGGCTCCTGCCCCACCTGCAATGATCATAAGTAACAGCACGGCATTACTCTTCTATACTGTGAGCTGAAACAATAATTTTGTCGACCCATATGGGCAGAGTTCTTGTGGCATCCTCTCCCAGCTTAGGACTCTTTATACACACTGTCTAAATCTTGAAACCTTTTACGATACCTGAGTCTTATGCTCTGTGAGATAAGAGCACTATCAGGTACTAATTAGCGACTACATACATAAGAGAACAAATTGCATGTATTTGGCATCTCAGAACTTGTAGTTTTGTTTCTTCAAAGTAGAAAACAAAACGTGCATCCTGTTGGGTATATCCCACCAGCTCTTCAAATAAGTTGTTAAAAACACCATGGGGAGGGAAGAGTGTTGGAATGAATATTGCACATTACAATTTAGTTTAATCAGCTTACTCATGGATGAGTGTCTCTGCATGCCAAGTTAAGAGTCCAGTCCAGGGGGAAACTGAGATTTAATGAAGACAGAAAATGATGTGGGTACAGAGGCAGATAGGAGCAAAGAAGTTCAGACATAGGGAGCCATTCATGTTTTGATATGGAAGTTAGACTGAATGAAGTTGAGAGCATTTTTCCTTACAAGTCACTTGACTAATAAGGAATCATGGTTTAATTTGAAACCTCGGTGGGGGGGGGGGTGGAAATCACAAAAAAAAAAAAAAAAAAGCACAGTGGCAACTGCCTAGTAGTAGTTCAAAACTTGGAAACATAGGTGAAAAATTTGAAAAATTAAAGTACTTGAAAAGGATGGCTTACAAATTCTAATGGGATTTCCATTGTGGACTACAACAGAGTATTATACTTTTTGAAATAACATGGGCTAGACCTGAAACTTCTGAAATTATTTGTTTGCTTTTGCAAGCAAAAAGAGGGGGAATGGATCCTACTCTGGGAAGGATAAAACGGAGGGACAGCAGTATTTTAATTCTTCCAATGCCTTTATTTTTATTCTGTTCTTGAATTCACAATATCTGCATAAAGCTATCAAATTTCATGTAAGTGTGAGTAAATTCATAGCCGTGGTGTTTGCAGTGGAAATCTTGGAAAATATGAAGGCTCAAGAAGAATTGCAGTAGAAGTAGTTTTAAGTTCTTGGAGTCATCCATAGTATGAAAATTGTAATACAAGTGTTACACAGAAAACTGACAAGAAATTACGAAGTTGTTTTCTGTTCTGGAATAGGCCTGACTTACAAAAAAAAATAAGCACTATATCATTTAGGTTGAGCTTATAACCAGACTTCCTTTTTAAGTTATGTTTCCAAGTCACTCTTCCCATCATTCTTAACGCCCCCTACAGTACTGCATTATGTTCTGATTGTTTCTGACCTTTATTTCCATGTCTGCTTTCAGACTTGAGTTTAATATCAAGGGAAAATTCCTGTACATCAATATGCCTGTGGAGATAGGAGATCTTGTGTAACTGTTTCAAGTGCATAAACAATAAAAGACTTACCTCTTTGTTAAAATACTTTTTCTCGAAACAAAAGAAATAAATTTAATCTTGCTTTAGGTTTTCTGTTAAAATTTCATGGTAGCATAAATGGAAATTAGTTCTCCCTTGGATTTTCTAGCATAAAATCTATGGCTTTCATCTTCAAAGCCACAATGGACTGTTCTGAATGTTCCTTCTTTTGTGGCCTGAAAGAATGAAGAAAATAAGCACATGCTTCATTTCTAATGTAGTTAATGTAATTTCTAATAGCTTAATCTCATAACAACAAGATTGGTGGAAGAGAAGCAGGCACTGTGTTGGAGTAGGGAGGGCAAATCTCTAGACTTTTCTTTGTAATGGATATATATTTGAATTTACTTTTTTTTTTTTTGCCTTCACGCTATTGTATTTTCTTCTAATTTGCTTGTATTTAAGTCCATGTTTTCTTCCCCCTAGAGGGAACTGCAAAGAAAGGATTCAGATTTCTTTCTAGGGTGTTGGTATTATAATGGTTAATGCACCTCAGCAGAAAAGTATCTCAAGACAGTTGTCTGAAATTGGGCTTTGCTGGAATTTATTTATTTATACGTGTGTGTGTGTTTCAGAGGTGTTTTACTCAGCTTTTTACACTTGGTAAGTCAGGAAGCCTGAGCCAGCTCAGATAATTTATGAGAATAGGGAATATGCAGTCACCAAAAAGAATTTTATTGACTTAGCAAAGACCACTGAAATCTAAGAAGTGGCCATCCCAGTCTGTTTTTTTTTTGTCCAGAGGTAGAGCCTTCAGGCTCATGCAGTCTGAAGTCATGCATGACTGCAGCTCATGCAGTATTAAAAGTGTGCTGAACTGAAGGTCTTCAATCAGCTTTTTTTTTGTGACATTCTATTCTATCTTTAGTGCTCTTTATGACTTTTTTTATAACCTTTTTTTCCCCTGGAGTGAATCTAACTCTTCTGCCAAGGGACCCTTAGTTAGCAGTTTTCCAAACTGATCTTAGTAGAGGGTTTTCAGAAGACGAAATTTAAAGCACTGAAGAAACACTTAGCAGTCACAGTTTGCAAGTTTAACTACTCACAGTAATGGAATGCCTTAAGAGGTGGTCACTCAGTTTTGCTGTTGAAGATGGCCAGCTAGGAAGCTTAGTCGCTTCCTGCAGTGGCCTTCTTGCTGTGTTTCCTTGCCTCTCAGATCTTGTGCTTATTGAGCCTTTTACCTGTGTGATGTACTCTGCTTTTGCCTGTGCTCTTGGGGGTCTGGTTTGATGTTCAGCAGTAAAATGTGTAATAACTTTGTCATTCATGTATGTGCTCAGCCCATTCTTTAATTGGTTTCTACTCTTAAAAGTGGCAGAGTAGTGACTCAGTAGATTGCCTTGCACTGCAGGTAAATAATTATGTTTTTTGAGTCACTAGTGGATTCTGATTGTGTTTTGTTTTCGTCCTAGTGGGGCACTGCAGTTACTGGGGAGTGACACAAACCTTGTTGTGGCTGACACATGTTCAACAGTTTGTTTCCAGAAATCACATAGTACCTTGTTTTTCTCGTGGAATAAGTGCACCAAAGGCATATGTAAGGAGGATCCAGTCTACTTTGATGTTTTATTTTCCAGTCATCTGAATTAGTAGCAGGACAGTAGAAGGTGGTAGAGAAAAGGCTGAAGGTTAACTAATAAACAGCAGTAGCTAAGCTGATTCCCTGCTTCCATCCATGACAAACTCCACCAGTCCCTATATATCAGTCATTATATATCCAAGACATAGGTGAAATTGTCTGTCATAGGGGACACATCATGATTGATGAGGGCAAGAGGGTAGTGTCAGAACACTGCAGCACAAGCATGCTTGAGTACTTCCTGTGCTTGTTAGGGAACAGCTTTCTCGTGGTCTATCCATGAGACTTAGTTATTTTCCATAGTCTGAACTTCCCATGCATCTCAGGTTGGCTTTTGATGGATGTTAGCCAAGATCCCCATGATTGCTAGTCACCATCTGGTGGCTGATGTCCATCTGGCTCTGTAGGCAGAGTGTCAGAGTAGCAGAAACTTCATTGTAGGTAACAGCAGAGTTGGTTGGTTTGGTTTTTTTTTTTTGTACTAGAGCTTACTGACTGGAACTCTGTCCTAACTTTCAGTCAGGCTTCCCTTGGCCCAGTAAATCCACATCCAGCTGATTTGTTATCCATGCTACCATATGGGCTGTTATTAGACTCAAAACTGTTTTCTGTTTCCTTCTATTTTACTTCTGAGTCTAGAGTCTTGTGGGCTCAGAAGCCTTCTGGGAGCAAATTCATTAATTTATTTTTAAAGATCTTTCTAGCAAAGACAAAGTATTCAGAAATAGGGGTAGTTGAAAGGAAGTGTAGGAGTACTATGCTTAGCAACTCTAACTATCCAGCTGAAATCAGTGAGACTTTAACTGGTTTTTAGAATGCTTGTTTGTTGTTTTGTTTTGTCATTTCAGAACAGAACCAAAACCCATCTCAGTACTTGCTTTTGACACAGCATAGGACAGAAAGCTCATTTAAAGAGAGAAACAAAAAGGTCTTTACTGTCTATGGAAAGAGAAGGAGGATTTATATGCTTTGAAAAGGTAAGTAATAGAAGATTTACTTGGTTAAAAAGTCCAGTAGTCATTGCTCATTTGCATTGAACTACTATCTGTCACAAGCTGTCACTTCCAGCAGTTCAGCACAGAAATAGCTTTATCTTTTCAAGGGGAAAGCTAAACTGTCCTAGTTCCAAATATTCAACATCTCAAAATAATGTCCTCTTAATCATAAGACTATTTCTCTAAAGAAACAATTAATTTAGCTGTGCAGCAGCAATTACAGTTGGTTTAAGTCGAACTGTAAGGCAAGTTCTGTCTTTTCATTGGCATTTAACATCAGCAAACTTGAATAGGCCTGTAATCCATAGTGGAGGTAGTGCAAAACAGAAGATACTGGTGCATCAACAATAAAGGTTGAGTAACAAATTTGAAGGTAAGACATATAACATAGCTATTCTTGCTGGCTTTTTTTCTTCTTTTAGTTTGTGTGTTTTCATGTTCACAGATCTGCTGTAGTTTGCTGCCATTTAATTCTAACAACTCGTCTGCTTGAGGAGATTCTGTTGTAATGTATCCAGTGGCTGTTCCTGCACCAGGAGGTGAAGGAAGTAATGGACAACATGGGAAACTTATTTTTTTCCTATTTGTTTTTGGAGCTGTGTTGCTCTGTGCTGGATTCCTTCTTTCAGTTTTTATTCTCCAGTCATGTCCATCTGGAAGCTTCAGTGACTGTAACGAGGTCCTTAAGGCTGCTGGGCCAGTGCTGGCTGTAACTGGACTGGTTTGTGTTTTACTGGCACGATCAAGGGCCAGGATGTATCTAAGGCAAAGACAATTGCAAAACGAGCAGGTATACAGCCTTGTTTTTTGTCGTGGGAACTGTCAGTTTGCCCAGTTTCTCATATTTGGATTCCTGTTTTTAACTAGTGGAATGTTAATTAGCATCCTGGGCATTTGGGTTCCTGGTTGCAGCCCTGGCTGGCATATGATACAGCTCAACCACACTGGCTCTTCTGACCTGGACCTCCAGGGCTGTGGATTCCTGTCACTTCAAATCATGGGACCTTTGATTGTGCTCACTGGGTTGTGTTTCTTCGTGATAGCTCATGTTAAAAAGAAGCAAAACTTAAATCTCAACCAAGAATCTTGTGAAAGTGAAGAACATGCTCACAGCCCTGAATCTTTTCAGGTTACAGTAGGTGAGTAAAAATGTTGGAACTTTACACTGGGAATTAGTGGGTTTTTTTTTCCACTAATAATTTACATCTGGATATTACTTATTTGAGCTCTAAGCATGTCAAGACAGCCAAAATAGAATAATGTTACTTTGTCTCATATGGTTTCTGTCAGCTGGTCAGTTCAGTTACCTTTCTTAAAAATGCAGAATCTTTTCGGCATGAAAAGGTCTGACTGTGTAAAGCAGCATAATCTGACACAAATGAGTCTGACCTTAATTCTTTTCTCAAATGGTGTGATTGACACTGCAGATCAGACTTCTATGACTATATTTAAGATTTATTTTAGCCTTGAGCTCTGAACCCTTAAACAGAAGATTCTGATTCATAACCAATGTACTGTATTTTTAAAATTGTGGCCACATCCTCAGTCAGTCAGAGGTATGATTACAAGTTTTAAGCTCTTCAGTTACGGAGTGGAAATTGGTAGATCTTTTGCTGTACAATGTTGAAGTAGTGAACTGTGTATCAATAGTTGTGGTTAGTGTGCCTTGAGCTGCTAGTAAATTACAGGGAAACTGTCACAACACACAAAATCAGTCCTCAGAGCCATTAATGACTTCCATTGTAACACTGCAGTATTTATGGAGAAACTTGGAATTACCTATGTTATATTTGGGAGGGAAACTAAATACCTTCCTGCCCTTAAATGTTCCAACAGTAACTGTGTGCTTTGCACTTCCACTTCTTGTAGACAGTCAACCATATTTGTGTCTCTTAGCTAGATAAACACTCCCCCTTGTCAGTTGTATTGTCTAAATGAAATCTTTCATTTATAAATATGCTGCATCTTTATTTTGGGATTATTTAGGTTTCGAATGTACCTCCAACCTACTCCAACAGGCCAGAATGTATCAATTCTGTATGTGGGATCATTTATCTTAAAAGCTAGGCAAGTAAAAATTGTACGATGCTGTTAGTATAACCACAGATGCTCTGTTCTTCAGAGGTAGTAATTGGTGTTCTTTCCTCTAGGTGATGCTGTGATGGTATTCCCACCCCCACCACCTTCTTATTTTGCTGACCCTATGTCACCAACTGTGACACATTGTCTTATGTCAGGTGTTTTGCCCACAAGTGAAAATCCTCCACCATACCACTCTATCTTCAGTGATGGGTAAGACTGTGTTAATCTCTGACTTTAGAAACCTGAACAGTTTCTTTACGTATCCAAGACTTTGTTCTTGTATAATCACGGTGAATTAACTACTAGGCGTGACTTGTTTCATATCCTTTATTTGAATTGGCATTAAAATATGGTAGTATACTAGGGAAACTACAAACTGCAGAGTGTCCTTTATGAGGATTAAATTATTGTTATGACTGGAAAGAATTTCTGAAGTTCTTAAATCAATGGCCCTTAGTAGATTTCTTCACAAATTGTCCAAGAGGACATGCCACTAATAGCAGTGAAGTAGTGATATGATATCCATACTGCCAGATTTTAGGAGCCTCTGTAGAAACAAAGCAGCAATTATTTTGACACCCACCCAAAGACCCTGGGAATGTTACTTTATCTGCCAATGTGTTCTGTTCTCCTGTGTCCCTTATCTCTGCCTTGAGGAAGTGAGATGTGCTGTGCTGGTCTGCCTTGTTCCTGCTGTGGTCATGTGTCAAGATTAAATGATTCCTTGATATTGCAGAAGGCTCCAGCATGCTGATAAAGGAGGATGCAAAGCCTGTTTTGTTTCAAGATGATGTACTTTACCCTTGCAGCCATTCCTTACATACATGGAGTATAATAGAATTGCCCAATATTGACACCACCAAGCTCAGGGAGCAGGAGCTGCCAACTTACCAAAGACTTACCTGTGCCACAAGAACTTGCAGGATTATTTATTCCCTGTGGGTTGCTAACTTGAGGCTAAAAGAGATCACTGCAAGGGCCACATACTAGAAATCCGAGCTAGATCTGGCCAGAAGAGCTGGAGTCCCTAACTTACTTTCAGGCCCTTAATTATTCAGAAATGACTTGATTTCATATCTTTACAGTGGTCCTACATCAGCCTGGGTTTGATCTGTCAGTAAGTTGCGTGGTGCTGTCATTTAATGACTTTAATTCTCAAGACTGTGCATGCAATATGGTGTCACTGAAAACTGGGAAATAAACTCTCCAACCAATTAGTTAGGTTATAAAGCCAACATGAGTTTATTAGCGGTGCTGGAGGCATGGGAAATTCTCCACAAAGCATGTATGCTCAGTAACCTAACAGAGCCGGTTCTGTTACTGAAACTAATACATATTCATTGAATTTCCTAAATATATGCATATATGCAAATTATTTCCATGGACTTACTTGGATATGGTTCCAGATCTTCTGATTAATCTTTTCTCCTTGAGAGTATCTCAAATCCGTCATCAGGTCATAATGCACCTCTCTTATCATTCTTTGCTCTGAACGAAATCCTTGTTCTCAAAACTAAGATATCAGCTACTATGTATTAATCACTGCTACAAGGAAGCATTAACTGGCTCGAGACTTACTAGTCACAGATGTAGGGAATTAACACAAGGCCACAAGAGTCTCTGGTATTTGTACTAAGCACTGTATGGGACAAAACTAAGCATTAACCATGAATATAGGGATAATACACTTACTGCGCTAAAGTTAAAAGTACTTTCCAACATCTCCTCCTGCTGCATAGACCTCTTACAGAAGAATAACCTGTTTGCTAACAGTTGGAAGTACCATCACTGCCATTGCTGATGAGTGTCTGGAAAGTTGTCTGACAGGAAAGGACCTGGTAATGGTGGTCAGCAACACCTGAACATGAGCCATTAGTGGCCAAGGCAACCAGTTACATCCAGGCTTATATCAACAATAGCGTGGGCACCTAAATCCTCTGTTCAAGGGAAGGGGGACAATAAGTGGTTTGTTCCTGGCAAACTGTGGAATGAGGAGCAAAGATTAGAAGGACAAGGTGCTTACAGAGGCCCTTTCCTGAATCTGGAGTGTGCTGGCCACACTGGAACACACTTGTCGTCTTACACAGTTGAGCCTAGGGCTTCTAAGGCAACAGAAGGCAAGAGGGAAACACTGGAGAACTATCTCAAAGAAGCTAAGGGATGTCCTTTCAGGAAGGCAACATGGCCAGCATCTCAGCTAAGGCTCCTTAACACAATGCACATAGCATGGGCAGCAAACCAGAGCAGCTGGAAGCCACTGTGCTGCTCGAAGGCTATGACCTTGCTGCTATTCCTGAAACTTTGTGGGATGAATCCGTTTTCTGGAGTGTTATTTTTAATGGCTGCAGGCTGTTCAGAAGAGACAGGGAAAGAAATAGAGGCAGAGGGATTGCTCTTGACAGCAAGAGGTGAATTAAATGTGAAGAGCTGTCCCTGAAGAACACCCATGAGCAGGTGGAAAGCTCATGGGGAGGGGTCAGAGACTGAGGCAGCAAAGGGAACCTTGTGTCTGGGGTCTGCTACAGCTGCCTGAGCAAGGGGAGCCCATTGACCAAACCTTCCCGCTCCAGCTACAGGAGACATTGTGCCTGCAGGGTCTTGTCCTGCAGGGGGAACTCAACCACCCCAGCAGCTGTTGGGAAAGGAGCTTGGAGGGCTGTAGGCAATGCAGGAGCCTCCTGGAATGCGTGGAGGAGACTTCTGAGCCAGGTTATAGACAGCCCTGCGAGGGAACTCGTTGCAGGATCTCTTGGTCACCAGTGCAAGTGAGCGAACTGGGACACCAAGAGTGGAGACAGCCTGGGCTGCAGGGATCATGCATGGCTGGAGTGTGCAGTCCTGATGGATAGGGGTCGGGGTAAGGGGCTAAAGTCCAGCTCTTGAACTTTAGGAAAGCAGACTCCGTGTCCTTTGGGAGCCTAGTTAGTGGGATCCCCTGACAGACTGCCCTCAGGGACAATGGAGTAGAAGAGAGCTGGCAGATCTTTAAGTAGCTCTTCCACAGAGAGCAAGAGCTGCCAATCCCCAGGAGCAAGAAATCAGACAAGGAGGGCAAGGGAACAGCAGGGCTGAGTAGAAACTTACTGGTCAAAATTAAGGGAAAGAAGCAAATGTACAGGCAGTGGAAACCAGGACAGGTAATCTAGGAAGAATTTAGAGATGAAATACAATTGTGTAGAGAGGCAGTGAGGAAGCCCAAGGCAAAACTGGAACTGAACCTGGCAAGGGACACAAAGAATAACAAGAAAGGCTACAGGTACAGTACACTAACCAGAAATGGAAGGTCAAAGAAAGGATACCCCCTGATAAACAATGCTGGAAAAGTGGTGACAGTGGATGACCAAGCCAAGGTACTCAATAACTTTTTAACCTCTGTCTTGAATGGCAACCTCTCTTCCCACTCGGGGATAGATGGACAGCAGGATGGAGACTGAGGGAGCAAAGTTCCTCCCACTGTAAGAGAAGATCAGGTTCATGGCTATCTGAGGAACTGGAATGTACATAAGCTTGGGACCCAATAAGCTGCATCCCAGAGTCCTGAGGGAATTGTCAGTAGATACCAGTCAGATGTAGTTGCCAAGCCACTCTCCTTCATATTTGAAAAGTCACTGCAGTCTGGGCAAGTCCCAGGTGACTGGAAAAAGGGAAACACATTGTACCTACCTTTAAGAATGCTAGAAAGGAGGAATACTGAGAAATATCGACCCATCAGCCTCACCTCTGCCTGGGAAGATCATGGAACAGATGGCCCTAGAGCTGTGCACACGTAGGACAGGGAGGTGATTCACACACAACTGCACCAAGGGCAGGTCCTGCCTGATCAACCCAGTGGCCTTCTATGCTGGGGTGATGGCATCGTGGATAAGGGAAGAGTTACAGATATCATTTGTCTGTCATTTTACTGTAAAGCCTTTGGCACAGTCCCCCACAACATCCTTCTCTCTAGATTGGAGAGAGATGGATTCCATGAGTGGACTGCTCAGTGGATGAGGAATTGGTTTGACAGTTGCATCCAGAGGGTAGCGGTCAGTGGCTCAGAGTCCCAATGGGCTTCAGCGACAAGTGCTGCTCCTTGGGGGTCCATAATGGGACCAGTGTTATTAAATACCTCCATTAATGACATGGACAAAGGGATTTGCAGATGACACCAAGCTCAGTGGTGTAGTTGTCAGACTTAAGTATGGGATGCTATCTAGAGGGACTTGGACAAGATGGAGAAGTGGGTTTATGGTAATCTCATGTGTTTTAATAAGGCCAGGGGCAAAGTGCTGCACCTGGGCTGGGGCAGCTCCTTGTATCAGCCCAGGCTGTGGTGAACAGATCAGAGCAGCCCTGCTGAGAAGGGCTTGGGGGTGCTGTGGCTGAGAGGCTGGACATGACCCAGCCATGGGCACTGCCAGCCCAGAGAGCCAAACGTGTGCTGGGCTGCATCCAGAGCAGTGTGGGCAGCAGAGCCAGGGAGGGGATTCTGCCCCTCTGCTCTGCTGAGACCCCACCTGCAGGGCTGCATCCAGCTCTGGGGTCCAGCACAGGAACGACATGGAGCTGCTGGAGGAGTCCAGAAAAAGCCACCAAGATGACAGAGGTCTGGAGTACCTCTCCTGTGAGGAAGGGCTAAGAGCATTGGGTTTGTTCAGCCTATAAAAGAGAAGGCTTCAGAGGGAACTAATTGCAGCCTTCCAATACCTGAAGGGAGCCTACAAGAAGGACTTTTTACAAGAGCATATAGTAACAGGACAAGGGGGATTGGTTTCAAACTGAAAAAAAATTAGAGTAGGTATTAGGAAGAATTTAATTACTGTAAGAGTGGTGAGACACTGGAACAGGTTGCCCAGAGAAGTTGTGGATGTCCCATCCATGGAACTGTTAAGTTGGATGGGGCTCTGAGCAACCTGGTCTAGTGAAAGATGTCCCTGTCCAAGGCATGGGAGGTTGGAAATAGATGATCTTTAACATCCCTTCCAACCCAGGCTATTCTATGATTCTGTGGTTCAATTTTGGGTCCTTCTCAATGCGAAAGACACTGAGGTTCTAGAGTGTGACAAAACAAGATCAGCACGGCTGGTGAAGGATCTGAAGCACAAATCGTACCAGGAGTCACTGAGGGAGCTGGAATTCTTCATTCTGGAGAAAAGACTTGACCTTATGTTATCTTCAGTTGCTGGAAAGAAGGTTGTGGCAAGATGGGGATTGTAGCAAAAGCTTCTTTTGCTACATAACAAATGATTGGACAAGAGGAAATGGCCTTCAGCTGAGCAAGATATATTAGGAAGAGTTTTTCTGTTGGAAGATTTGTAAAGCATTGGAACAGGCTGCTCAGGAAAGTGGTGGAGTCACCATCCCTGGAACTGTTGGAAAATCATGTGGCTATAGTTTAATGCCTGTGTGGATTTCTTTGTCTTGTGAACATACACATAAAAAGAGTATCTAGTGGAGTGGATAAAACACCTCAGGCTTGAATATACAACCCAGAATGCCTGACCTCAGCCTGTGGTGTTTCTCATGGGGATGCTCTAGCTGTTACCCTCCCATGCTTCCCAGTGTGGGAAGAGACCCACGGAGCTGATACCATCTCTGGGTGTTTCACTCAATCCTGCTGTCTGATGGCTCAGCACTTGCTGGCAGTTAGAGCATCTTGACTAGTACAAATGGCTTCCTGAGCCACTTTCATGGAAGAGAAGCAATGGCTTCATTGTTCGTAACGGTGCCATGGTTGAAGATCCCATATATGGCAGGGATACACATTTCATATGTTGGTGGCTACTGGACAAATGTGATTTGCCTCTTTGATCCACTGCTCAGTGTTCTGTCAGCAAGCACTGTGCTGCAGCCTGTGCTGGGTGACAGAGCTATTAGTAAGCTGAGTCATGGTCTTATCCCAGAATTGCTTGCATTTTTCCTGCAATCTGTTACTTACACCTCAGCATTTGTCTTGTAGTATTTCCCTCTCCTTTGAAAACGCTTACAGTCATGTAACAGCATTGAAGATGAGGTGACTTTGTGCTCCTCACTCAGTATTGGTATGGATACAGATGTATGTACAAAAGCAAGAGTCAGCTCTGGGAGTGAATCATGAGGAGCAAGGAGTTCTTCCCATTCCTTGGGAAGCAGCTGAAGTAATATGCTGAGGGCCAGCTCCAGGATAAGATGAGCAAAGTGGCTTCAATCAATTTTGATCCAGCTAGGATGGTTAGAGGAGGACAGGGAATACTTAGCTGCTCATCTTGAACATCACTGGGAGCTTTGCAGTCTGGTCACGTCAAGTTGCTTCTGTTTCTCCAGGTCTGAGTGGGCATATGACTCCTTATGTCTGTCATGGATTGCTGGAATGCCTAATAAAAGTTTGATTGCTTTTCCTGTAAGATCTCAGAAGGCTAGAGTTTCTGATTTTTTGGGTGCAGTTCTAAGTCTAGTAACTGTCTGTAATAATGGAAGGGGACTGTGTATGTGATACACTAGAAAAGCGAAGATACATTAGGAGCTAAGGATCAGAAGAAGAGTTAGTAAGATTGTGAAACAGCACAGCCAGAAGCAGCTAATACCCTTAAGCAGGCTGTGACTGCTTATCTCAAAGGGTAGAAGGGAGCTTGTTTTGCCCTTCCTCTCTGAAATGATAGAATTTTGAAATGAGTCATAATATAGCCCACAGAATGAAATCCTAATGCTTATGCAAGTTCTTTGCTTCAGGGATTTTTAGGAAGTGTATGCATACACGTATGTTTATGTAAATCAAGTCAAATTTCAGTCACTGTAGATAAATTAATTGTGCTAATACATAGTTTTGTGTTTTATAGAGCACAGCTTGCTGATGATGAAAGAACCGTTGCTGTTAGAGACTATGAATCCATATATACAATTTCTGGAAGCAGCTCACCTTCAGATATTTTACCAATGCTATACCTTCCTTCTGAATCACCACCAAAATATGAAGAAAAAGCATCAATAACAAATAACGAATATTCGCCATCTTCTTCCTCATCTTTTTCATCGATTTCCGTAGCCACATCTGACGCCAGCTCGTAAAGGACTGACAGTTCACTTAATTTTTAATTAAAATGTACACAGAGATTTACAATTTTTGAATTTATTTGCATTTTGTAATAAAAGCAATAATGTTGGCTGTGCCTAATTTTTCATCAGGAAGAATAAACAATGAACTTAGATTTCAAGAAATACTAGAGAAGTCTGGGCCTCTGCTGAAGTAGTCTGAAGGGAGTCCACTGCAAGAACATTAAATGCTCATTTTGTTCTGTTACAGCTTCAGTTTCTATTTATAGCTGTTCTTTTTATAATGAAACCACTAAGTAGAAACCAACTTTTTTATTATTTTAATTAAATCTGCTTGGAGCTTCAAAGAAGGAAATAATTAGGAAGTGGTTTTATTTCTATTTTTGCATGACTTTTTTGGAAAAGACTTATTTGGCCTTAACAAGTACTCGGAGAGCATTCACATATAGGGATGTTAAGGTTGGTACCAAAGATGCTATGAAGAGCTTCAATGGTTACCTTTTGTTCTGCCTGATAACAAACACTCCATATTTAGACTATATGTGGTCCTTATGTAAGTATAATCCCTATGAAAATCAGTTTTAGCTGCAGTTAAGAGCCCAAAGGCAGCCCTGAGGATAGTTAATAGGCTAACAGTTTAACTATGCCTATGACTGGTTTCAGGGCAATTATTCTGCTGTTTTATATCATCGTTCATGGATTATACAAGGAGTGCTTATTGTGTGAGAGTGAATACCACAAAGCAATGATATCTTCGAAGTGCACACATTACTCATCAGCAGACGCAGGAGAGGCATGCAACAAGTGTCTTTAACTGACAGAGTGCTTGACAGACCTTCAGAAGTACAGTCTTCTTAGCTCCTCCATCCCCCTGCAACCCTAGGGTAGTGGTCTGCCTTCAGCATGAAGGTTCTAATTCTACTTTGTGTTTGTTTGTACTTGTTCCGAAACTGTAGCTTGTAGTAGGTAAAGATAATTAGGAGGAACTGAGTTGCTGCTGATCTTTGATTTTTACAACTTGCTCCGAATGCTGTTTGGGAAAAACGGACCGGATTCTGTGCCCAGAAAGATGGCAGGGCTGCACTTTGAGCTTGGTTCAGCCTGGTGGATCTGAATTGTTCAGCTGTCTCTGAATTTGTGTGCTTTGGTACCTCGGTTACACCTCCACTTGTCATCTACCATGCTGAATTTCAGAGAACTTGGCTGTAATGCCAAACTACGTATTCCATGTGCCTAGGGAAAGGTGATTGCCTTGTGTCATCTTTCTATTAATGTGCCTCTCACCTGCTTACTGCTTTAAAGAGATATTCAGGAGCTCCTGCATTTGCCATTTATTTCCAATTCTGTGTTGTTCCCTGAGTTATGCTAGGACAGTTCTTTGTGCAGCTGCACAAAAACAAACCAGGCAGTGAGGGAGGTATATTTAGCCAGCAATAGAGCTGAGGGGCTTATGCACACAGAGTAATGAGCAAACACGGCACAGAGGGGGATTTAGTATGTAGGAGCTGATTAAACTGGCATGACTCAGCCATGGGAAATGCCTGTATGAAGAAAGGGAATCCACGCAAGCCAGTAGGCATTTTGTCCTCTTTTCTCTGAAACGTTTTTTACCTAGTGAGTTTTTCAAGGATGTTTCTTTTTATATGCAATCTGCAATACGAGCATAGTTTGCCATCTTTGTGATTTTTTTTAGGCTTTTGCTTCTACTGTTTAAACAGTGGGGCTGTGTGTGATTCATGCATGCAAAGCTTTGCACATGTCTAAGGAGCCTATTTCTCTCTCAATTTATACTTCTATTACATAACAAGAACAGAAGCTGGGTATTTTACTGGAAAGATCCCATGCAACAAAGCCCATGTTAGCTTTATGCTGTTGTTCAGAACACTCATATTCTGAAAAGGCTAAATATCAAAACATGTTTAAACAAATCTAGAAATACTTCACCATCTTAAAAAAAAGGCAGTTGGATCTAGTGGTAAACTGAAAAAGTATCAACATTTTCTACTGCCTTCAATTTGCTTGGTTGTTCTGAAGATGTACACAAGAGACCAGACAAATCAAGCAGAATATGTTGGCTCATCTGACTTCTCTGTAACAGAGACATAATCTTGCCTTCCTTCAAGGTTATTGTATTTTGATCATCTACTGTAGAATCTTCAGTGTGGATCACTATTTCTAAAAAACAGTCTTCACAGTAACCATGGTTCAGAAAGCTGCTGACCTGACTTCAGACTCAGCGCCTGAGTTCCCTGGGAAGGATAGGTGTTACCACTGAAAGCAAGGATTGAAAACTGAATTTATCTCTGTATAATTTTGTGAAGATGCTTAGGAAATAGATTAGTTTACAGCTGTATTAGCAGCTTCTATTTTTGACTTAGAAAATCATTACTTGAAAACTCAGTAGATGTGCTGGGTGCATCTCTATAAAATGCTCAGCACTGTAGTAGTTATCATAGCCAGGGCAACAGTATTTGATTACTGTTTGGTTGTTGAAATATGTTGCAGCAAGGGCAGAAAATATGAGTAAGAGGCTAGCAGGTCTGTACTCACCACTGAAGGCTACCACTGGGTGAACAGCATTAGAGGGAAGAATTTTTGATGTGGGGAGTAGGAGTGAAATGTCTGTATTAGAAAGGAAGCGACACCTTGTAAAGCTATAAAAGTAGCTTAAAATAATACAGAATAGCATTTTTATTGAGGAAGTGAGATACTTTACTGTCCCACTAATGGTGCTATAACCCTCTTTCTGCTCTAAGGTTAGCTTAAGTGTTTGACATACAAATGCTAGGAAGCAAATCAAGTTGGTTACTGATTCACACTTACTTAAACAGGCAAAGTGGGAGGTAAGGGTTGCTTGCCCTCTCTAAGTGAAGTTAAGGTGTCTCGTCCTTGCTGCCTGCACTGACATTGCTCTGCTTCTAACTGCAACACGGCAATCCTTTGCATGTGAGAGGGATTCACAAAAATATAAATGAATGCCTTTTCTCTAGGAAGCGTCTTTGTTCCTGCGTCAAGAGCAGCTATGAAAATGAACTGTTTACTCATCTGAAAAACTGAGATGGCACAGGTCTTTGCAATGTTGCTATGTTTTCTGATAGCAGCACTTGCTGGATTGTACCCACCCCATCTTTGCCCTTTCTAGTTTGTGTTGCTATATCCATTTATTCCTTTTCCATCCTGTCTCTTCAGAGTCATGACTTGTACGGCCAATACCTCCACATTTCTGCAGTGAACATGCCAGAGTTCGTCTAGATCAATGCTCCTCCCCCAATCACATATGTATGCAACTCAACAATTAGGCATGGAAACCATTTTGGTGTGCATGCTCACAAGACGACATTCTGTGGAACATATAAAGCCACCTTGCTGGTAAATGCAGTTATGGGCAGCTGGCTGAAGCTGCTCCTCCCAATCCATTTATGCTTTGAGGCTGGTGGTGCAGTAGTCCAAGGGTGAAAAACCCACTCAGAGTGGGTTTTTATGTACTACTCTTACACAAGTAATTCATATTTTCTGAAGAACCAGTTACTTTTCTCCAGGAAAAGGTCCACTAACTCAAGTCACTGGCTCCTTAATCTCCCTACGTTATGGAGCGATAATTTGTACTTACTCGTTTTAAAACTAATCAACGTGCAATACCATGTGTTGTGCAGCTTCTTTTGCGTGTTCTTTGACTAAGTCCCTGCTTATATAACTGGCATGTAAGAAAATAAAACCTTCCTACAACAGGCTGATATGTGAACAACTGTGTCAAAATAGCTAACATAGGAAGAAGAAGAAAACAGGGTTAAGTGATGGCCTGTCAGTGGTCACTAGAATGACTCTTCAAACAGGTTGGAAAAATGAGGGGGTACAGAGCACCTGATTTCAGCAGCAAGCACTGCTGAAAGTCTGCACTGGTAATAGAAAATTAGGTGAAGGAACAGAAAGCAAAGCAGTGCTTGTGTTTAAGGGCAAGATCTGAAGCAGATGAGAACAAAACTATTGACATCTGAAAACAGCACTCATTCTGAAAAACCTCACTCTGACCAATTTTCCTTGGTTTCACAAAATTCTTTGCTTAGGAATCATACCAGGTAAAAGGGATGTACTTCATAAATCAACACTTTTAAGTGAATCCCCAGAATATACGCTTATTGGCAAAGAAAAGCTCTGGTCCTAAAATAAATCATTGTGATCCAGTAATCTCTTAAGACTTTGAGAGCTGCCTGACTGCAGCATCACCATTCTCTGGGCAAATAATTGGAGAAATACAGGGAGACATAGGGGAAACTATCTTACAGAGAGGGGACAGTTTACAGGGAGTGGAGTAATTTTAATTTATATCCTAGCACACCAAATGTAGAGTGTTTTCCATCCTATTTTAAAAGTTCAAGTGACATGTAGCATTGGAAAGAAAAATGAAGCTTGTGTTCTCCAGCTCTCTTGTCCACTTGCTCAACAATCCTGAAGTCATGTCCTAGACCAGAGGCAAAGAGACAGCTGTGGGATGACACAACACCAAACTTGGAAAATTCTAATTCCAGACAGGATCTGAGGATCATTCTGTGGGATTGAAGAAGTGCTCCAGCACGATCCCATTGCAAATAGCAGTTGCAGAGTTCTTGAATGAATGAAAGGAGCAAGATGACACTACATCTGTATAAACTATTAGCTAGACAGCTATTATAATATAGTGCTGCTTTTAAAAGAATGTTGGAAAGCCTGAAAGCTTCAGCAGTGGCAAGGATGATTTATGGTATGGAAAAACCTGACATGTACAGAGCAGTAACTGTTCATTCCATTAAGTTTAACAAATGTAAGGTTAAAGGTGACTTAGGCTTTGGCTATAATTAGCAATGCAAGGACACTTTATCTAGTATTTCAGCACTTTCTAGTTTATTGTCGTCATACAAAACCACTGCATTGCAAGACTGATCTCTTTGCTCAAGAAGTGCAAAAAATCCTGACCAGGCTTAGTGTTGTGGGAAAGGCTGAGCTTGAGTGTATTTATCAGAAAATTTGCTGATGGCCTGGGTAACAGGGGTGACTTAATAATGCTGAGTTTGGAAGCTTCACAGCTGTTTTTTTAAGGAATCCAGCACTAATATTCCTCAAGGTCTAGGCAGTAAAAAATGAGAAAGACATCTGCAATTGCATTCAGCATCAGTTCTGAAGGTGCCAAATTTGGTGAATAACCTTTTCCAGGAGAGAGCTGTTGTCACATAGTGTGATGATAATGCACAGTAGAATAAAGGCACTTTTAGTGACTTTGAAGAAGCTGTCTGAAAGGTAAATTTTCCAGTTCTAGAGCTATTTTTAATCCTAAAAATCTCAGGATAAGCTTGCTTCCCCATAGCTGCTGATAGCAGGAAATAGCATTATGTGTTCTACTGCCTGAGCAGTAATCACTGTCCTCTGTGTAGTACTCTCCCATGCTAGTACAAACAGAGTAGTTGGACATTTTTCCTCCTTAAGGAATTATACAAAGACATTCTACTAGAAACCTCCAACAGCAATTACTTTAGTCTGAAACTGTTAGGAAACAGAAATTTTCAAAATTCGATAATTTTTCCTGTTTAATTTATGAGACATGAGTTCAGCAGAACAATTCATTGTGAAATGAAGAAGTATCCTAGGTACCTGTGAGTACAGGATCACTCTGTCAAGTTTAGCATTACAAGAGATGCTTTCTTATTCCTGCAGTGATGTGCTATTCAGGGTATTTGGGCATTATTCTCTATAAACCTTAAAACCCACACCAAAAAATGTCCAGAATTAAGGGGAAATTATAGGATAATTATGCTACCTTCAACCAGCTGGAAAGCTTTGGCTGTCTTGAAATAATGTTTATCCCAGATCCAACAGCTCTCCCAGGCTTTTCAGTGCTCACCATCCTGTTGCCACTTATCCTCCTGCTCACCTAGTGGTTGCCCCAGAAAAATATCAGAAAGCCTACTTTGATACCTTTTTAAATCATGAACTGCAAAATGAGGTGCAGCAGAGATCCAAGCATGACTATAAATGTCACGCTTCAGAGCATGGAAAAGCATTTCTAGCAATGGCTGTGTGGAATTTTCCTGCAGAAAATGGAGCAGGAACTGGAGAGCAAGGATCTCTCTCACTGCTGTTGACTAAACATATGCTGTCCATATGTTGGATGCATCAGCTAGCTGGGGCTAAGGAAAAGCTGCAATTGCTCCAGCTAGCTTTTTGTGCTATCCGGAATGAGCACAGTGTCATTGGTGCTAAATTAAAGAAGAAACACAGAGAGGCAGTCATGCAGGGGTGAATCCATTCCGGAAGTGATAGTGATAATTCAAGAAATCTTTAGTGATGGATTCAGGCTTCACTTCCCAGACCTTTGTTCTTCCAAGCAAAGTTTGTTCTTTCACATGATGGACTCTGTTAACCATACACACACAAAGTTCTTGTATAACTAACCTGAACCTTCGACTTTAAATATTCTGCCAAGCCCTTTACAAGCCCCTTTCTCTTGAGGGAGAAGATACGTTATACTCAGTAATGGAGCAAAACAACAACAATGTAGAAGATTTCTCCTTGAATGTCTTTTCTGTCACTCCTTGTCAGCCAAACAGATCTGATGCCCTGGTGTCAGATGGGGATAAAGCTGGCACCACTCTGCTCTTTTCAGGTGTGTTTTTGGGACTGGTGGGGATCACTTTCACTGTGATGGGATGGATAAAATATGATGGCATTACTCACCTGGAGTGGACTCAGTTACTAGGGCCTATTCTGCTGTCTGTCGGGGTAACTTTTATTCTGATTGCTGTTTGTAAATTTAACATGCTTACGTGCAAGCCCTGTAAAGAAAGAGAGGAAAATACATCGGAACTTGACCAGACTGCAAGCAGACAGTCCTTTGTCTTCACCGGCATTAACCAGCCTATAACTTTCCATGGTGCCACAGTGGTACAGTACATCCCTCCACCGTACCCATCCCAGGAGGGCACTGCTGTGACTCCCGGCTACCTTCACCCAGTGCTCAGCTGCTGCGGGGCTGTTCCCCCCAGCACCTCACCGATTCTCACCACAAGGTCTCCTCACTTATGCCCTGCCTACGCCCTGGATAACCTGGCTTTTATTGAAGACGAGAACTACACTACTTATCCTGCAGAGAATTCCAGGAATCAGAGGTACAGCATCTGAAATGCCTTAGTGTGTTTGGACACAGGCTTCTGAGTATTTTAAGTACTATGTGTGGTATCATAAGAAACTAGAGCTAGTCCAGGGTATTATTCTCAGACTTTTTTGTCTGTGTTAGGAATTCTTCTTGAGTGAGGAAACATACTTTTCCTGGAAATCGTTTTTATACAATTTAAATTCACTTATAAATGCCTTTCAATTTTCAGTCAACTTAATCTCTTGTTACTTTTTAAGTTATATGTGCTCCTGTTTGCGGAGGTTTTCTTATGTTTATCTTGCCACCTTTAGATTATTATGTGTATGATGCCAAGATGATTTTTTTGGCTTTTATAGACCTTTCATGTAACTTTTATATATCCTCAATATTCTTAGCAAGCATACTTGCAATTCCTTAAGTCTGATAACTTAGCATAGTCCTAGTGTTTGGTTAGGCCAGGAGACCAAACATCCTAAAAGCCTCTTAGTAGAAGGCTGGAAAACCCAACACTATCTTGGGATTTACTTTAATTTATATTTATAATTTAATATTTTAATATATTTAATATTAATATATTAATTTAATATAATTTAGTTTATAGGAATTACTCATAATTATATCCTTTCTACAACACGAGTCACTGTTAATTCATTTATCAAAGTCTTTTTGAAAGCTGCTGTCTGACCCATTGTCCTCAACAGTACGGGTGACACGCATAGGCAGGGTGAAGACAAAGGTCACCTCCTGACACTTTTAAACTTACTGAAAAAACACAGCAAACATCTGAATCTCAGTAAAACTTCATTTCAAAGCATTTTCTCAGGAAGCCAGGGAGTACTTTTCCCAGATAAGGCTGGGAGGATGAAACAATGAAATTACTTGTATGCTGTGTGTTTGGTAAATTCTTTTTGCTTCTGTTCCTCTTCCTCTTTACAGGTCAGAAGACAGTTCTGATGAACCAGAAGGACTGCTGGAAGACTATGCCCATAATAACTTGTCTCCTCCACGCTATGAGGAAATATACCCTCTGTCTTCATAGAGACAACAATCTTAAGAGATGCCAGCAAGAATCCCAAAAAATCTTTTCTTTAAACACTTGTGTGATAAGACAGTATGAGCAAGATCTTGGTATTTATATACAATTCAGTGTCACTGAAGATATTTAATTGATCCCTTCCTTTTTCTCTGTTAAAATTTGTTAGCCCTTTACAATGCAGCTTAATAGCAGAGCTATTAATTATTTAACAGCAAAACTATTAATAGCAAAGCTATTGAACTCAATTATCTTAATCCATATTAGGATTCCCCAACAAGAAACTTGATTTTCAGACTTGCTGGAAACAGTGTGAACTCTGAATGCACAAAATGTTTGTGGAAGGTCATGATTGCTCCTGGACATTCAGCATCTTTAGAAAATCCTTGATTTTTTCTTGATGTATTTTCCTTCTTGATTGCTTGGGAAACTTCAAAAGTACTCAAGTGTCTGATTCATGAAAGTGTATTTTATGTCTTAATTTTGTCTGATTCTTTAGAAGAGCTCACTCATTAATAAGCCTAGTCTACAGATGAGATTTCCTCAGCTTGCTTTTTCTGGAGAACTCAATACTGTTGCACAACCCAGTCCTGTAGGCATTTTTTGGAGCATCCTGCTTGAACCACAGCATCTCAGAACAGAGAAAACAAATTGTGACTTCTGCCTACTTGTACATAGCATCAAATTCAGTTCCCTTCCCTGCCTGGTGGGAGGCAAAGCACGGTTTCCCACCAAGAGTCCTAATAACTGAGGTTAAGTCACTAAAGAAAAAGGCATTTTTCTGAAGCCTTGACAGAGGTGTGTGATCCTACCACTGTGAAGGACTTCAGCAATCACAGCTGCTGCACCCCTGCTCTGTAGGAGGGCTGTGGTGAAACACCTCTGCTGTTCTCTTCCTATTTGAATGTGGGTCTTAGGCACACAACCCAGGCTGCAGGTTGTCCCCAGAGTATCTAGACGATTGTGGGCTGTAGTAAACTTTCTTGCTCCAGTTCAGCTTGGTTCCATGCACTGAATCCACAACAATTTGAGATTAGCCCATTTGATTAGAGAATGGTGTTGCTGAGCACCAGAACTGTGGGTTTGATCCCTGTATGGGGCATTCACTTAAGATTTGGTCTTCATGACCCTTGTGAGTCCCTTCCAATTAACAATATTCTGTGATTCTGTGAAATGTATTTACAGCTATATTTAACAAAAGATTAAGTGTATTAGCTCTGAAATTTTGTAGTCCAGAAGGAAGATCCAAAAACCTTTGCTTAGGAGGTTTTTCAACCCCAGAGCAATGGCAATCCTGTGAGTCCCTACATTTTTATTTTGTTTTTCCACATATATTTCAGATTTTGCTTCTGAATGTGCGCCAGAGCTGGACAAGCCATTATTTTTCTATGATATGATGATCCCATTAGGTTTGCTTATCTCCTTCAGAGGGTTCAAACCAAAAGCTGATCTCAGCTCTTACCTGCTGGAGTGGGCACCACACAAGATGCCCTGGAGGGCAATGGTCCCTGTCTGAAGTAACCAAGCGGAGCACTGCTGGTGTGCCTGTGAGCCAGTCTCCTGGCCTGGCACAGCACAGCTAAAAGCAGGTGTCTAATATGGAATGCATCAACTGTCTCTTACTTGTTGATGCAGCTGTCCCAGCTCTTGCCAGATTTCATCCACCTGCAATTGATCTCATTCGCGGGGACTGGAGAAGCTTGGCATTTGAGCACAGTCAGCTGCACACCAGCCTGATGTACTTGACAGCTGGTCTATGCAGCTCCTCCAGCAATCAGGAGACTTAGCTCTGGATGGAGATGGGTAGAACATTGTCTGGTTGCGTGGACCTGCAGGTGCACACATCCCTGTCCTGTACACTTAGAGGTTGCCAAGAAATAAAACATTTAGGGGGGACACAAAACAATCACTCTGCTCCACAGTGATGGACAAGACAGTGGCAGAAGTCATATTTGGGACGTTTAAACATTTGAACAGACTCAAAGCTGGATTAGCAGCTGCAACAGCAGCTACTGAACAGTAACTGCAAACTTTGTGTGAGGCTTTTCTCATTAGAAAATATGGGACACACTGTTTTTCAGCAGTGATGGCCTGGTGTTAGCAGGTCGTTGGAGGAGGGGAGGCATGCTGTGTTCAGCATGATCTCTATGGGATTGAGTGAGAGAACACAGGATCTAAAAATAAATGCAAGTTTTTCTTATGGAAGTGTCTTGCTCCTTTTCTGGAATTTACACAGAGATGAACTCATCCTCCCTCCACAGCAGGAAACTGGATGGTCCCAAATCCCCAGTTAGTTCCACATGTGCAGGGCCCTGAACTTAGCACGTAGTTCTGCTGATTCCAACAAGCACTGCAGTAGCACAGAGGTCAGGCTTGATGGATCCAATCGTAGGACTAGGGTCAAAATTTCTGCCCAGTCACCCTCCCCCACAAGAAAATTCTTTCAGTCGGACTCCAGATTTTTCCTGCTGCTCTTCCCTCCTCCCGCCCCCCATCCCCGTCCCTAGCATAAGTTTTATGAGGTAATAATATCTTTATTTTTATTACATCAAATAATACTGACAGAATAAATGGAAGAAAACACAGAAGGTTGCACTGTGGACACTATATTGATTTTAAAGTTTACTTCTAGCAACGCTATATTAATTGGAAAGAATTGGAAGAATCTTAGGTTTCTCTTTAAAGAGAAGATTGAGTATTAAGTTTAAATAGCTATATTGGAATTATCTTAACCCGTCAGATAAATTCTGGCTGAATTCTGTGGGAGTCTTTTCATGCTCAACAGATATTTGAGAAACTTCAGGGTGGTGACATTTCCTTGCTGTACTGAGTGCTGATGATCAGTTTTAAGAACAGAGACAAGTTCTATAACAGCTTTTTTCCTCCCCCTTCTCTTCTTTCACTTTCTACTTCCATCCTTTTTTTCTTTTAAAAGACTTTTATCAGTCTTTTTTCATTTCAGGGTTTGGGGAAGTAGCTGAGAGTGTGTGTATTTTCTTTGTTTCTTTGGATTTTGGAAGTTGTTTGTTTGTTTGTTTGTTTGTTTTTACTGTGATATAACCGTCACATGAATTCACTTCTTAGCATTAAGAATTCTTTCTGCCCTATAATGAGTGAAAGAACGAACCTTTTTGGCCAAGTCTTCAACCAAGGTGAACTGTCAGCCCTTCTAGATTATCTTGATGTAACTTCACAAAGCACCTGGAAGACTGTATTTGAGATTTTGCTCAATCCATATATAATTTAAGATGGTGCTCTTTAAGCAAAATTGCATTCTCCCGCATTGCTTGCAGTGCTAATGCAGACCTGCAGAATATTGGGGGATTAATAGTTTAAGGTGTCTTCCATTTTAGTCATAGTGATAGAATGTTGTATGTATTTTCAGCTATGTAACCCTGAATGGACTCTCTGGATTTTTCCTAATGCAACTTTATTTTTAAGATTTTGATCATAAAATGGTTATGAAATCACTAGAGACATGTCTATTGATATGAAACTGAGCATGATCCAGTCATTTAGATAAAAATTCTGCACAGAGCTTCTCTAAGATCAAGGAGCTATTTCCAGACATTGAATGCCACATGGTGCAGCGTGCGAATTTCTTCTCAGATTAGACCCAGAATCTGCTTTCTAACGCGGGCGCTGCCGTATCTGCGATCAGGACGGCAGTACAGCAGGCACGGTTCGGTTCGCTGTGCTTTATTTAGCAGCACTTTCCCCAGCAGCCGAATTTCACCAGCTGCTGCGTTCCTGACACCGGGATGCTCCCCAGCGCAGACCGCGCACGGGCGGGGGCGCTGAAATCCTTCGAAGAGCTATTTTTAAACTGAACCGGGATTTAGTAAATCTGGGTCTCGGGGAAAAAAATTAAACCTGTAAGTAGAGCTCTTTCCTCTCCAGAGAGCCCTAGTGACGCACACGGCAGGCTCTAAGCACGGCCGCCCTTCCCCGCGGGGAGAGTGCTGCAGCCTCCATCCCGCGTGGAGCCCGAGCTCCCGCTCCCTCGGGGCCGTGTCCCAGCTGGACGGCGGCCGGGAGGCTGCCCTGGGCCGGAGCCGTGTTTGCCCGGCTGTCCCGCCGCTCCGAGGGGCTGCCCGGGGCCGGAGCGGTGTTTGCCCGGCTGTCCCGCCGCTCCGAGGGGCTGCCCGGGGCCGGAGCGGTGTTTGCCCGGCTGTCCCGCCGCTCCGAGGGGCTGCCCGGGGCCGGAGCGGTGTTTGCCCGGCTGTCCCGCCGCGCCGGCAGCACCAGAGGGCGCCGGGGCCGCCCGCTGCTGGGGCGGCAGCTCCGCAGCAGCCCCGGTCCCCTCCTCGCTCACCTGCCCAGCTCTAAACGCGAGGGTCTCAGGAGATCTGATCCCCCACTGACCCGACGGGTGTCAGAAGGGCAGAACTGGCAGTTTGTAAGCGGGCCCTCATTGTGACACACCCGGCATCTCGGACCGGGGAGCCGAAGCTTTTGTCCTTTGCTACGAGTGCTAAAGCCGTTGAAAAGTATCCTGTGCTCCCTCATGACCGAGAGATGGCCTATGCAAAAAAACAAAAAAACAAAACCAAAAAAAAACCCCAACCCCCCCCCCCCCCCAAAAAAATAAAAAAAACAACAACAAAAAATCCCCCCCAAACCACTCGTGGTGAAAGACCCAGTAAAATCGCCGAAGAACATGCGATCCCATCCCCTCTCTCACAGCAGGACTGCTGCTTGGGGGTAGACGCTGCACAGTGCACTCACATGCACCCCCGTCTCCTCCTCCTCCTCACCTCTGTGACCTAATGGGACAGGCTTCTGTCTGCATGAAGGAGCAGGGGGGAGTCCAAGGGTTATTTGCAAAGAACTAGGGCATGCTGTTTGTATACAGCACCTACGATAATCTGTGCCTGCTGCAAGTATCATTAGTGGCTCCACTTTAGCTGTCAGGGTGAATAGACATCAACAAGACGTACTGAACATCGCTGTTGCTGCCCCTTCCCCAATGTGAATCAGTGTATCTGTCAGAGAAGCATACAGCAGAGCCAGGTGGGATCCCATGGGATTTCCCTGCATTAGCTGAGCAGTGATGCTCAGCGGGAGAGGGTCTGAAAGGGAAACAGCAGGTGCAGAGAACCTGGTGACCACATGCACTCCATGTTGGGAAGGTTTATATCAGACTAACTCCTGTGGGCTTGACGCTGATTAGCAGTTGAAATATGCCTTGTTCTTCTATGGTGTATTTTCTGGTACAGCTTCAACCAATAGAAATTACTCATCTTGCACATGTGATGTGAAGATGAAAAACCTCACAGGGCAGGTGAGGAATGTAGGGAGTTCCTTCAATAGCACCTGATTTAGCGGCACTTGTTGCCCTGCAGACATGGGATGACTTGCAGCAGCTGCAGGAGTTGTATGTTGTAGAGCAGAGAGGCTTCTGTCAGCTTCCTGACAGCAGTGAGCTCATGGGAAAGCCTTTCCCAGTACTAACAGAGGTTACTTTGAGAGGTCTCACAGTGTATTCTCAACACCTCCAAAGGTACATTTTGAGATGTAGCAGGCTTGTGCCTTTCTGGACAATAATTGCAAAGTGATAAAGAAGTTTTCCCATGGGGAACAGGAAAAATTACTCCGTAGCTCATGTGGCCTTGTACTTCATTCCTTATGTGATAACAGCACAGGGTCAAGGGTAAATCAGTAATGGCATGATTGTTTGTATCTGTGTTGTGTGTGGCATCTCTAATGAGCAATTGATTATATCCACACACGCTGTTTAGCAAACACCATGGGACATGTTCTAGCAGAGTAGCTGCTGCACTTCTCTTATAAAATCCTAGGATGAGATTATTGGTCTCCTGCTTGGGTTATATCATGTCAGATTTTATTTTGTTTATTTGTTTATTTTTGCAGATGAATTGTCACCCTATATGTAAGATTCTGTGCTTGCTTCTTAGAGAACAGGACATGCTATTTAACAGCTCTGGGTGGATGACCTGATAATTTCATGTTTTGCATAACTGCAGCGTCCTCTTTAGTTACAGTTCAGCGAGTCTGCTCAAGAGCTTAGCTCTAAGGTAAAGCTTCATGCTCTGTCAGCCAAAGATGTACCTAAAGAAATACAATAGTGCAGAACAATAGTGCAGTCCAAGGTCATGACTTTCAAAACAAACTGACAAACAAACAATCAAACCTAAAACAAAGAGGTGTACATTTTAAATTTCTAACTATGAAACTGGTGGTAGCTTCTGTGTCAATGGAGGGTACCCTTGCTTAGGGTACCCTTCTTGTTTTTCTGCTGCTCTGCAACCCAAACCCAGCCAGAAACAGTCAACACTGGCATTCAAGGCAGCATTGACTTGTCACATTGCCTTTTGTCCTCAGGCACCTACCACACATCCCCATGGTCAGCTGACAGAGCTTTGCCTCACACAGAGGCCTGGCAAAAGCTGGCAGTTTGAGAAGGCTGTGATTTACACCTCTATGCTATTTTTGTTTGTCACCATTTGTTTTTCAGCATTTAACATGCCACCTTCTGGATTTATGTAGAGCAGGACCACAA